TGCCCACCGAACTAAATCTTTCGCCAGACAAGACAAAGCAGTAGAAATAAATAAAAGTCGAAAGCAGTGAACTTTCACTGGTTTAGCTTAATTCCTCGCCTATAAACAATGCACAACAGACTCTCTTTTGAATCTCAAATCCCACTTCACATCCTCTAACCGCATTGATTACTGTTTAGTACGGCAGCTGTCAAATTAAGTACGAAGTTGTTTTTTGTTCAGAGTACCGTGATTATGGTACAAGTCGTGCAGGTCCTCAAGTCGGATATTTTTGGTATGATAGAATTGTAGGTAGCCGTGATGAAGTCGCACATTGCTGTATATAAAAGATAAGCATCCTAAACATGTTTGGAATTCATCCCACCTGCAACTCTTGAGTTACAGTAAGCATGTCATGTCGAAATTTCAGAGCTTCTTCGTGCTAGTCACAAGTGACTAGGGACACAGAAAAAAAGTAGTTGGTTCCTTTTATCAATTATTTTCAAGTAGCTCATGTAACTTGCGTCGAGTCATCGTTTATACAATGATGGAATTAAAACGGCCAAGCAAGGCCTAGTGAAGTCTCGAAGTTTTCGTCGTTAAAAGGAACCTTCGACTCTCCGAAATCCGCCGAATTGAGAGCTGCGCGCGCTTCGTCTGTTAGTTGTTCCCACATGATGAGATCATGGTACTGGCCATCACGATAGGAAAATGTTAGCGGTAGCCAGCCGAATGAATCAACCATTATTGTAGAAACGCGAGTTGATATGTTAGATCCACCTTCGTAGGTGAAGTTCCACCTTGTTCTGGTGATTCTGTTCTGTCGGATTTCTTGGGTGCCCACGAAGCCAATTGGAGGAACACTCGTGAACTTCTGGTATGGGTCTTTATCCCCTGCCATGTTAAAGCCCATCCATCTTCGCGGCTTCAGAAGTTGTTGCGACAGCGACGCGCCAAGAACCTTCGGCGTCTCTAGTGCTGGATTGTCGAGCCACAACACCATACTCATCCAGTAGTGACGGATCCGGGGCTGGCTAGTAATAAAGCCTTTAGGGAAGTACCACGCGAACATCATGGCCCACCTGTCTTGATACCACTTCGATCGGCCGTACATTTGAGACCCTAGAGGAGCTTCCGCACAACCATCAGTCTCTTTCGTTGGTTTGAGCCCACCCGTGATGTCGCCAGCAGCATTCACGGCCGGAAACGAAGCACAACCATCCTTGACGTGAAGTTGTGGCCTGTACTTGACAGCAGCCTTTTCAGATATCGTGACTGGGTCGGGTTGGGCGAATGGCTGCACTTGATCGTGATTAATCGTGCCGGCAAACGTACAGGATAGCAACGCCAATAACTGCAACAAAACGGAAACGAAGTTCATCGTTCAAGTAATGATCGAAGAATCGCAGAGCTCCCGTTGTCTGGAAAGTCGAAAAATGAGATGAATCTCTTCCGTCGAAAGTACAAGTACGGTAGGATAACTTCTATACAGTTGTGTAGTCCTTGAAGCGTTATGGAATATAACATATCCCTGTGCGATTCTTTACGAGCAAATCATATAACTTATCTGAAGATATCGGAAAAGCTAATGAAGTCATGCACCAACGGTGTCGGGATTAAATGTTTGAAAAACAAAGAGTTGGAAACTTGCATCAAAATTTCAGATCATTTTGGGTGATGCAAATCTAAGAGAGTGTTTCGAACGACATCATTAATAATGACGTTTCTGGAAAAACTGCACTCTGTAATGTTACATGTATAAAATGTGAACGTACCCCCCCCCCCCCTTTGCACTGGCATAATCATCAGGGCGCATTAAGCTTCGAGTCCAACGCGAACACATTCTCGTGGAGAGTGCGGAGCCTTCTACACGTATCATACAGGTAGTGGCGCTACTAAATTGCGTCATGGTCATGATGCGTGTATTACGTACTAGTACAAGCGTACAATGGTAAAATAGTTGTCTAGCGTCCTGTGAGCTGTTGCCGTCGAGGTTGTATGTTTTAGTCTTGCGTTTTCGAACTTAAGTGAGCGTCTGGTTTGTTACCTCTCTCTCTCTCTCTCTCTCTGTGTGTGTTCATAATATCATGGTAGGGCTTGAAAGCTTTTACCTCGTTTATTACATATGGTCCTATTGGGGACGTAGGTTACGAACAGCAGCAAACGCCTCTGCTGGTGCCATTTTGTCGAGAGGGAGAGCAGCAAAAGCGGACAGGAATTCCTTGTCCGATGCAGGAACCTTCGAAGGGGATTCACTATCGGTTAGTGAGGCTTCCGTAGCAGACCTCTTGGCACCGATTGTCTCCTGACTACCTACGGCGCGCTCGAATCCCTCAAGCTCCTGGCTCTTTTGCCGAGCGCACTCAATGACTGACTGGGGAAAGCCTGCCATGGAGGCCACGTGAACACCAAAACTTTGCATACATGGGCCGTCCCGCACCTGGTATACCATCGTGATTTCCCGGTCGCTGGCAACGGCAGTAACATGCTTGTTGGCGAAACCGTGAGGGTGTTCCAGCTTCAACGCTGTTAACTCGTGGAAGTGCGTTGCAAATAGGCACATGGCGCGCGCCTTGGTGAGAAGATACTCCGAGATTGCCCAGGCCAACCCAAATCCGTCATAGGTGGACGTGCCTCGACCCAACTCGTCAATAATCACAAGTGAGCGCTCTGTAGCCTTGTGCAGAATAGCAGACGCCTCTAGCATTTCCAGCATGAACGTTGATACGCCTCGCTGTTGCAGGTCACCAGCTCCAACACGAACCAACAATTTGTCGAACACAGGCAATCGCGCAACCTCTGCTGGAACAAAGCTACCGATTTGTGCCATCACTGCAATCGTGCCCAATTGCCGAATGTAGGTACTTTTACCACCCATGTTTGGCCCGGTCACGAGTTGAAAGCGCGAGCTTTCGCGTTCAAAGTTGTAGTCGTTTGGTATGAAGTCTACACCGTCCTGCAGTTCCACACAAGGGTGACGGGCACTAGTCAACACGATACAGTCGCCATTTTGTTCAACTGTTGGACGACAGTAGCCTGAACCAGCGTGGCATGCAGCGTGGGCGAAGCCCAAGAGCACGTCCAATTCTGCTAGTGTAGCAGTGGCAGCTTCGAGGACAGGTACGTACGTGCTGGCCACATCGATCGCTGCACTAAGTAAATGAGCCTGTCGTTCCTCGTATTCGCCACGCACTCGGCGATAGTCGGCAGCGAGCGCCTTCAGCTTAGTCGTAGTGAACTGGACGCCACTCACGAGTACTTGGCAGATGTGGACGTATGGCAGCTTGGACAGCCGTGCTTCTTCTTTCTTGTTCACTACACGAAAAGCGAAGCCACGAACCTTGTCCTTCTCACACTTGATGTCGCCACCAATCGTATCAAGAGCATTGCGGTGCTCCTCCTCAATATCCGCAAGGATGCCATCCCACTCTTCACGCAGCGCCTGAAGATTCTCATCATGCTTAGCGTTCACCACAAGAGTCGGACGGCTGTCCAGGTCAACAACCTCCTTCACAAGCTCCGTGTAGCCCTGCAGATCCGCTAGCACCTTCTCCAATGGAGTAGCAAATTTCTCCTTGACAAGTGAAGCCAGATCGTTGTCTCCACCAGCATTGGTCGCCTTCAAGAGCTTCAGCACACGCGGCATGGCACCAACCGCGGCATCATACACACTCACTAGGTCTGTGATCTTAGCGTGCTTCTTCTTCTCAAGACTGACCGCCAGTCGACCCAAGTCCGGCAACGCCTTCATACACTCGTCCAGCAGCTCCATCCTCAATGACGTGTCGTCCACGAAGAGCTGGACAAGACTCTGTCTGGTCTCGATCTGCTTGACATCCAGCAGTGGCTGTCGAATCCAGCGCTCCAGCAAGCGACGTCCCATAGGCGTCTTGCCTCGATTCAGAATCTCCAGTACGCTACCTCCAAATCTCGCTACCCCGGTTGTAGTAGAGCTCGGCTCTGGCAGCAAGTTGAGCGACCAGACAGCAGCGCTATCCAGTTGCATGGCAGACGAGAGATTCCCCTCTTTCAGCGTGTAGCAGCCGAAGGACTCGGCGTCAGTCATGACGCCCAGAGCCTCGATCAAACAGGCCAGCGAGCCCGCTGCGATCTTGGATGCCAGCACGTCCTTATACTCGGCCATCGCACTAGCTCCCAGTAGCCTGGCGACGTTGGTCTCGACACCGCTCACGTCGTAGAACAGCTGCTTCTTCATGTAGACGACGGACACCTCGTGAGTCTGCAGAAGCGCGTGTAGCTTCTTGCTGTCACCCACGCTCTGGGACTGCTCCAGCTCAGCCGAAAGATAGCACGTGGAGGGCGCCAATTGCACTAGCAGTGATTCGAGGTTGGCCAGCTCACTCGAGTCTGAGAAGGAGAAGAGCAGCAGCTCCCATTGCTTCGTGTCCTCGTCGGCTTGGCCCTTAACGCACGACGCGCGTGCGCGAGGCCGGCGAACTGCCACGCCCACCTGCTTAAGATGCTTCTCATTGCGGATCTGAAGCGCCACCTCCGCCTGCGCTTCCTCAAGCATCTCGACGGACGCAGAGTCGTCGTCCTCACGGTCCCTGTCAGCCATGACCTTGATTAAGTTTCTAGAGTGATTGTCAAAAGCTCGCCAACTGCAGACTTCCCGCGCTTTTTGTGTCCGGATGAAAGTGCCCAATTCGGATCAATTGGATACGGCATGAGGCGCCATAACGCGGACACTTACGAAATTCCTGCACTATGGTGGACTGGCAAGCGGAATATGTGAAGGCGGCGGAGCTGGAGGAAGCTGAAGAGGGTTCTACGCCAACTACGGCTTCGCAACAAAGCGTCAAGACTCCGGTAGATAATGTGCTGACGTTTCTCGACCTACTGTTGGTCGAGGAAGGCGGCGAGTGGTGGGCCAAGCTACAGCATCGAGTGAAGTGTGCTGCCAAGCAGAAGAGTGATGATCAGGGGGCGGTGGCATTAAGCGAAGATGACAAAAAACAGCTTAAGACACTCAAGAAGCGGCTGGCAGCGGTTGGAGTCGAGCTAGTGATTGAACTGCCGAAGCTGAATGCGTCGGTGAGCAGTAAGGAGACGCCTCGCTCCGCTAAAGTGCGTGTGTTGCAACTACAGCTCGTGTGTCGCGTACTGTGCTACGGGGATCTGACCAAAAAGAAGAAAGAGGAAAAGAAACGGCTGAAGAAGGAGATCAGGAATCTATTGGACCGTGTGGCATTGCTGTTAGACGCAGCAAACCCGCCGTCGTTGGCGGATGAGGATGCGGACGAACGTTCGCCGTTCCAGGAGTTTCTACAGCAGCAATTAGCCCCGAGATTGCAGATGCTGCTACCAGATCTCGTGCGGTATTTACTGAGGGCATACGAGCTGGAAGAAGAGCAGGAGGCCAAGGTTGACGAGAACAAAGACGCTATGACAGCATTGCTGCCTACGGTACGTCCGTGTAATGATTGGTGTTGGTTTTACCGTCTTACCTTTTAGAATTTGCTATCTTATTTTTGCAGCCTGTGGTGAAGCCACCTCAGCGTCCTGTCGAACTTCCAAAGGCTGGTGTTACCGGCAAAGGCAGCATTTTATCTGCATTACGCCAAGAACGACCGGCAAAGCGTGCTCGCCCCGATGCAAGTGGCTTGTTTAAGGAAGTCCAGCTCCCTCATCAGTTGCAGCAAAAGCAGATTATTCAGTCACGACCTCACAAGTCAAGGCGGATCTCTACAACCCACAGCGGCGCAAGTAAAAGCAAAAATGCTGACAAAAGTAGAAGTGCACGAAGTAGTCAGGACTCGCTTCTTCGCGCGGCAGCCAGTGCCAAATCGACAAACCAATCGAGAACTCACGACTTTGCTCGAACAGCTAAGACTGGCCCGGTGTCGAGCATCGGAAAGCGTATCGAGACTGATCTGCTGCGTCGCGCCGTTGTGGAATCCAGTAAGAAAGGACCTGCAGCGCCTCTCCTCCACCGAGCGATGTCGGACCGATCTAACTATACTGGACGGCAACCTGCAATGTCATCATCGCCAGGCGCGGCCAGAAGAACAGATGCAACAGCCAATAATTGCTCACCGCCATTGCGCCGAGCGATGACCACTTCGTCAGTGGTCATGCGGACGCCCGACAGACCCAAGCGAATGGTTGCACGAACTACCAGAAGGGTCTTGGTAGAAGCATCTCCTCCGCTACGTAGTCTCGGAGCTGCACCTCGTCTACTTCAGCCCAAGTCATTACGACCATCCGGTATCAACCCTCCCTCTCTTTTCGGCAACGATTCAAAATATAAGTAGAGTGACAGAAGACCTCGAATTAAGCAGCATTACACTAGCTTGCGTCAGCGTCATCACTTTCACTGTCACTGCCGTACCCAGCAAGCCCAAGAGCTGCTGTGTTCGACTGCTTCTCCGTGTCAGACGACTTGTCCACCTTCAGCTTCTTCTTCAGTGGTTCCTCCTTCGCTTTTGAAGCTGCACTCTTGGAATCAGTCCTATCCTTTCCTGTCTTCCGTTTAGCCTTAACCACCACCGTTGCGGCCTTTTTGTTACTCGCCTCCAACTCATTTTTTACAGGATACTTCAGTAAATGCTGCGACGATAGCTGCGCACTAACTGTAGATTTAGGAGCGCCGCGAGCCACCACTACACAATACGCAATGACATCATCGTTAGGCCTTAACAAACACAATAACAGCTACTCCATTCGAACTCCTTACAAAATTGAGCAAGGTCCTCCTCGTGCTGAGCTTGGCGCTTCCGTTCCACATCCTCCCTCTTACTCTCGAGGTCTTGTATGTATTCGAATTCCTCTTCATCTAGACCCTTCGGGGGTGCTATGGAGTTGTAAGATTATCAATAACACACGCACCAGAAGCCAATGCGAGTAAGACCCAATCATCAATGGTGATCATCTAACCGTCGACACACGAACCGAAGGGGTTGTTCTTCTCTTTCCACTCGCTGTCCTTCTGCTCTTTGCGCCCCTGTAGTTGCTCATACAATGGTTTGTATCCTGCAGTGTCCTCGGGTCGCGGGGCAGGCGCCTCCGTCACGCGCTTCTCCTCTACGTTGTCGCCGAAAAGCTGCAAACACGAACAATCGACAAGTTAGCGGTAGGGTAGGGCCTTCTGCGTGGCTGGATCTAGTGACATACGCCATCGGAAGAGGTGAGAACAGACGTCGACACAAAGCCTGCCAATGACGCCCTCGCGGCAGAATCCATGAATCGTGAAAATACTAAAACAAGTGAGTGCATTGCACAAATTATTGGAAACGTCCAGTGCGACTTTTCATAATTCCAACTGTGAAATTACTTGCAAACGCCCTGATTTAACAATATTTTGAATACGAAGTTTATATTTTGAATTACTATCAAAATGATGATCTAGTTTTCAGTTTGTATTTTAATTTGACATCTAATCAGCCTTCGACTTACAGTTAACTGTAGGTTTATCCATTTGCGTTGACCAAAAGCGGTGAACCGAGGGTCCATGGAAGGAGGGGTAGCGGTCATGCCTGCCTCTGGCATGTGAGCATGCACGCCAGAGAGCACAGGCACATAGGCCCTGGGTTGTATACTCCTGTTGACGTATTCGGGTTGGACTGTGACAAGTTTGTAGAGGAACAGGAGCGCGTGCCCTGGATGAGAGCCTTCAAGGTGTTCCAACAAGATGAAGCGTTGGCGCTCGATTCACAGTTAAAGGCAGTGTGCTGAAGATGTCACCTCACTACGTGGTGAGGAACGGAGTCCTGATGAGGCTCGTTCACTTGGGTGCACATGCTGGTCCTGCGAGGACGATCTGCGTTCCTGCAGCGCCGTTGCCGTTTACCGAGACGGTCCTACACTACTGTCACGCCGACATATTCTCGGCTCACCTCGGAAAGACGAAGACTGCTGACAAGGTGAGGCGACATGCGTATTGGCACGGTTGGAAGAAGGGCGTGGTTGAGTTCGTGCGCGAGTGTTCTATCTGTGGCGGTGGTAACTGTCAAAGGCCTTGGAGGGCTGGACTAAGGCAACGAACGCCGGTTCAGGACTTGTCGTGTCCATTGGCGTTGCTCGTGGTAGATGCCATCGGTCGTCTGTTCATGACACCTCGAGGGAACAAGTCTATTATGGTGTTCGTGGACTATTAGCGCGATGGGTCGAGGCGTTCGCTGTCGCATCGCTCGACACGATTTCATTCGTGAACACTATGATAGAGGGTGTTATTTGCCAACATGGCGCGCCAGAACGCCTACTGAGTGACCAAGGGTCGAACTTCACGTCAAATTTGGCCAGGTCGTTATATGAAACGCTGGGGGATTAATAAGTTGTGAGGAGCAGCGTATCGCCCGCAGACTCAAGGTCGCGTGGGAAGCTTTAATGGAACGCTAATGGGTTGTTGCGGATGATCGTGAACGAGGCACAGACTGACTGGGACGTGTACCTACCGAGAGTCTTGTTCGCGTACAGGACGGCGTACCACGAAGGTCTCGGTGACACTCCGTTCTTTATTTTGTATGGGCGAGACCTGGTGTTACCTATCTGATTATCTGATAACTGGGAAAGAATGGAAGAGTAACGAAGTTGCGATGTACAGACGAAAACTGTACCACTCGTTGAGAGACACACGACGGCTGGTAGAACAACAGCTGCTCAAGGCCCAAGACAGGCATGAAAAACGACTAGACAAACAAGTGAAGGTGTCGTATGCGGATGGGGACTCAGTTTGGGTATATCAGTATGTCAGAGCCCGGGTTGGGGAACGCAAGACGAAGAAGTTGGCGTTGTCCTGGCATGGTCCCTACTATGTTGTCGGCCAAGTCGGGGAGAACTCCTACAAGATCGCGATCCCCACCCATCCTAATAGGATCGTTACGGTGAACGTGAACCGCTTGAAGCTTTTTCGACGTCGCTGGAGTCAACCGTTCGCGGACGAGATACCGAACGATGTCGAGGGGGACGATTCTGAAGATGGACCTACCAACTACTAGCTTTGTGGAACGCCTGTCAATAGGCGGCGAAGAAACTGCTTTCTCTGCAGTGTCGTCTCCCATCGAAGATATAGTGGCTAAGAGAGTTGTGATCGCGCGAGTTGCAGGACTTGGTACTTACTACCACGTACGAGACGTTCTGGTTGTCTCATGCTGCACTAGCTCCCGAGTTTGGAACGCTGATGGGACGTTTGAGGACGCAGATCGCAAGAAGCGAGGTCTGCTGGAGTTATGTAGGAACGCCCGGTTGGTGGGCGCCAACGCAGACGACGCGGAGATGATGTTGTTGAGTGGCAAGGGCGCGCTGAGCGGCCACTCGCTAAAAGGTAGACAGGGAGTCCTGTCTGCCATAGAATTAAAATAACAACTGAAACGAAACCCTCTCTAAGTTGTATTAATTCTAATTAGCAAGTACGAGACGAAGTTCAGATCACAGCTGTGATCTGGATAGTGCAGGCAGAGAGCTGCCTGCCAACCATAGCGCGATGATGATACGAGGCAAGGAGTGCAGCCGCCAAGGACGCAGTCCGAAGTCGAGCTCACTTTCTCTTTTGCCTCAGACCCCGAGCACAAGTCTGTAGTATAAGCATTAGTATAGAGATAGAGAGATAAAAATAAATACACTGTAGAGGGCTTCCTCAGTTGTGTACTGTTCATTTTAACAGATGTTCTAGCTGGCACGTGGACCAGTTGGAACAGGCGGGGAGTACAGTTCCCCGCAGGGGAATGTGCTTGGAGCTTGCAAGTTCCAAGACACGGAACGGTGTTTATATTATGTACATTGGGATGACTTCGTGTTGTCTCGCTTTGGAGTATTTTGGAGTTGGTGATTGTGGAACGAGGCGGAACTTGCCATTTGGAACGGTATCAAGCTAACCGATCAGGGCGGACGGAGCCTACGGTCATGGAACGCGTTGACGGCGAGCCAAAAGAGATGAAACTACTAAGAGGGAGCCTGAGGAGTGACTACGAGATCATGGGCAAAGGAACGAGCGGAACGCTGAGACGGAGTTAGGACTTGGTAGGGGCACAAGACTTGACAGGTAGGGCGGAACGTCTCGCCGGTGACATTCTTGGAGTCGCTCTCGTCGCCTTTCTCGTCTCCGGCTTCGCCGCCGTTGTTCTCTTCTTCCTCTTCTTCATAGTTCTCGTCGGTGCCCTCGTCTTCGCCTCCGGCAGGCGTGCTGGTCCTCGCAGGCCAGAGGCTGAACGTCAATGGAACTGCTGCATTGAATGCATGCAGTTACAGTGAACCTACATTTAGTTAGATAAAAATGCAAGTACCATAAAAACACAGAAAAAGAAACAGGGTAGGCAACATAGGAAAGAGAAACAGAAATGCGCAGAAACAGTAAGAAGCCCTTATGCTCTACTAGAGAGTTAAGGAAGACATGCATGTTAGGGACAGCAAAATTATTCATTATTAAATACCCCGAACCTCGACTCCAACACCTACAAGTTTCCTACAAGACCTACACTCTCGGCAACTTCAGCTTCTATCAACACTCTCACTTGACCGCACGACAAGAATGAAGTGTTCAATTTATAAAAAAAAAACTTGTTTTATCCAATCAGAGATTTACCTATTAGGTTTTTTGTAATGAGTGTCATACACAGGTACGATTATTAAAGATTGTTAACCCTTTCGTGAACTGGTACTTTTGACCTGGCTATATTATAGGATAGAAGGTCAAGTCATTAGGCCATCAAAGGGGGCTTTTTGCCCCCTTTCATAAACTACGGTACTACAGCAAATCTTCTCCAAATCCTTGTAGCTCAAGTAGAAAGGGCGAATCCGCATCGTCCAACACACAAAAAATAAGGAAAGGGGGCATTTTGACCCCATTTGTGGGTGACACGAATGGTACTCAAGGATACGCCCTCCAAAGGGGGCAAAATGCCCCCATTGGCCACGAAAGGGTTAAACAATACTTCATTGCAATAATTAACTATGCAATTTACACATTGACTTGTTCTTGCGCATATCGTTAAACCACTCTAGAAGACTACAATTTGTTAGTTAAAATAATTACGTAAGGTGATTCCAGTCCGGGAAATCGTAATTTCACACCCCTCTTGACCTTGCTTGCCTTCTTTTTCTTTCTGGTTACGCCTTGGGTGTCTTAAATTTGACCCTCTCCCTTGTCATGGAGAGCGCGTTACTTGGGGGCCACCATCTCTGCGGCTTCTCTAGCAGCTTGGACCTTCAGCACAGCCTACAAGTACACATACAGATAATAAAACATACGTATAATCTACTGAGGGATGACTCTTGCTTACCTCTCGTCGCTCTTGATTGATGCTAGGCTTTGGTTTGCATGAAGATGCTCGAATCCAAAATGTACGGGAAATTACGATGTATGACACATGGCATTTGTTCTAAGTTAAAAAATGACGACTTTCTACCTTTTTCCGAATTTACTTGAAATTAATATTTGACAGAGTTGCCTTTTCCCGTCGAATCCGGTAAGCTAGACCAAGATACATACATACACTATATGTCGCTGAAGCTGTTATAAAAGAGGATCATGACAAGGAAAATCGATCGACGATTACCACGAAATAATGGGAGCTTAACCCTTTCGTGGCCAATGGGGGCATTTTGCCCCCTTTGGAGGGCGTATCCTTGAGTACCACTCGTGTCACCCACAAATGGGGTCAAAATGCCCCCTTTCCTTATTTTTTGTGTGTTGGACGATGCGGATTCGCCCTTTCTACTTGAGCTACAAGGATTTGGAGAAGATTTGCTGTAGTACCGTAGTTTATGAAAGGGGGCAAAAAGCCCCCTTTGATGGCCTAATGACTTGACCTTCTATCCTATAATATAGCCAGGTCAAAAGTACCCGTTCACGAAAGGGTTAACTTTCTAAGAAAACTAAATAGGTGTAACAAGCCAGTGTATACTGCTCATGGCGGTTCGTTTTGATTTTCAGTATCTTACTGAAAGATCGTTAGATGCATCTGTGGCTGCAATGAGGTGGTTTCGTCTTCGCAATCGACTACTAATAGGGTTATTATGGGTTATTACCCATCGAGGCACCAACAAGCGCTTGGAATTGCAAGTACATTGTTGTAAGAACATCAAAATATTATTTTTAATACTTTTTTATTATATTTTTATGGCGTGGCGGTGTGACGAATCGTTATCCAAGGTTACAGTACGCCTAATAACGGATTAGAGTGTGGCTCCAAAATAGTAGAGTTAGTGGAACGTTTACGGGACGGTATACGGGACGGATCATAATGACTAATACAGGCTGAAGGAGTGGGCACATAAGAGTGTAGATGTCCTCCAGACTCTAATTAACAATGTCACTTTTTATTTTGCTTAAGAACTACCAAGCCTCCTCCTAGCACGTTACATAGTAGCATTTGAAGAGTCCAAGCATCGACTTTTGTCCCCAGTTTCGATTATCGAGCCGAAACCTGTCCAGTATGGAAGAGGCCAATACTCAGCAGTCAATTGGAGAGGCCCTCGCACTTCTCGCCCGCAAACAAACGGAATCTTAAGCAATGATGCAGCATCAACTTACTGCAAGTAAAGCACGCATCGACGCGCTTGCTGTAAGACCGACCTCGGTTCGTAAGAATGAACCTCCGACCTAATTTGGCAAGCTGGATGAAGACATTGAACTTTGGGTATTGCCCTGGAACAATATTACGCCGACTATCACCCCCAGATGACGGAGGAGTCACCCCAATTTGTCACGATGATATCATGTCATCTGGGGATGACGCCAATGAACTGGTACCGCAAATTTTCGAGTGAGTGCGAGGCAACAGGACGGGTGAAGATGTGGGCGAACTTTAACGCGGCGATGTGTTCGCTCTTTCTACCACCTGACAGAGAGTATCGCTTACGTGAGTGGTTGTGTGGGCTTAGTCAGACCACGTCACTCCATGATTATGTGGCTGAGTTTCAAAACTTGCTCATCCAATGCGCAGTGCCAATCAGCCAGCTGGAACTGCGGTTCTACTTCCAACAAGGGCTTACACCGGCTACCGCAAATCATCTGCGAGAACACCATCCAGCCGCACTGGACGAGACTATCTAGTTAGTAAGATACAGCAAAGCGCCATAGCTGCATGGAAGAGGGCCATATCGCACCAAACTCCCCAGCCAAATGAGCGTCTTCTTTCAAAAGGAGGTCGTGTGACGCATCGTTACCCAAGGTTACGGTACGCTTACTAGTATGGTACCAAAATATGGGACAGTATATCCACAGCTTCCACCTTACCAGAGAGTAATTCTAAGGATTATAACTGCAACTTAGGACTATTTGGCACGATTCAGCTGCGCGTCCAGTTAACCGTGTACAGGGCCACCAATGGTTCTGTAAAAGGTACACCATCCAGCACACCAACTAGCGCTAGTTGTTGGCTACATGTTCTGTGAGGGTTTGCGGTGCTCCTGCGGCACACGCAGATATTCCAGCCAGTACTCGAGCAGAAAACAACAACTAGCGATGGATTTTGTCGATTTCGCTATGTACGACGCAGAAGAAAACGACCATGACAGCGCTAGGGAGTACGAAGATTAAATAAGTATGATTTGCTATTCAAGACTTTGTTGCAATGTGCTGGCGAATTCATTAGTCGGCAGCACTTAACCAATTACTGCGGGAAAACACCAAATCTTTACGTAAGGCTCGTCGCTCATTCGCCCGCAACTGTCCGCTCCAAGCACTCATGCAGTTAGGCGGTCCTGCCAAGCTGTGAAAGGAGGTGACAGGGCAAAGGAAAGGTACATAAACGGTCGTAATAGAGGGAGGCTAGGTTTAATGTCTTTAGTCGCCTACGTGATAAGTGTGGAATACTAGCCATGTGATGATACTCCAACTGCGCTGCTTCCCGACAAGTTTAACAAAATTCTTGGAAGAAAAGGTCTCCCACAGTTCCGTGCCGAGCAACATATCGAAGTATTCGATCCACATGTCCAACGAAAGGTGGTGCAATTTCCCCTTGGTTTGATTCTCCTTACCACGCTTCAGGTAGACTTCAAGTTGCTCTTGACTCAGCTTTTGCGTGGGTCGTCAGGCTTCCAGTCGATTTTCTCCAGCCATTCGCGAACCTTGGCTTTTGGAAAGACGATCACTTGAGACAGCTTTCCCCAGATGAGATCCTTTGTTTTCGTCCAGCTGTAGAATGGGTTGTATTAGGTGTGTACTCTAAATGCTTTACGGTTTCGGAGATGTAGCATTTAGGCAATGTATTATTGTAAAGTGGAGCCGGTATGTTTTGCTTCACTAAGGAACGATTTAGAGTTTATATCGAGAAGCTGTTGTTATTAAGTAGACACTATCATTTAAAGCGCTAATATACAAAAAGAAAAGAGAGAGAGAGAAACCGTCACATCATACATACAAATACGACGCAGTTTTCCAACTTTTTTTTATTATTCCCTGGTGTAGAACATCTAGCATTAACCCACGCCATCTGCCTGACGCTCTATAATAGCAACGGCACAAACATAAAAATGTAGGTCTGTTGAAGTGCACATGCAAATACAATTCTATGACAAGGCCTAAAATTTAGCCCCTCCCTGTCTTGGCGGTACTACAAAGTAAACTGGTGGCATATAGCGTGTGCCACCGTGATAAAGCGAAGGGAGTTGGAGAAGGCGACGTTGCTCCTGTCAGCTTGGAAGGCCGTTGCGTTGCTACCCTTACCGGTAAAATCAGCTGAAAGAATGGTAACCAAGCCATCTACAACAAATACTAGGTCAGATTCACTAATCAGAAGGTAGAGGAAACAGGTACTGCGCCCTTACCTATTGCAGATTTTGTGGTATTTGCCCTGCGGTTGGCCCAGTGGGAGTTGTGAACGTATGTCATGAAGCCTTTCAACCACAATCATTTAGATCTATTAAGAGTAAAAGTCGATTCATTGCTCCCAATAATTTCAGACATCTACAATGGAACGCCAGTGGGTAGTACGGGATGCCTCGCATGATTTAAGATTAGCCAGAGCATAATTATGCGGTTCTTAAAAATGGATCTATTTTTCAGTGAGTGAAGCGTGCTACATGCGTCGTTTCAGTATTTTCGAAGATGATCTATTGTCTTTGTGGCTAGTGTCTGGGATCTCAGAAGTGCTGGTGTGACGAGGATCGCAAAATGGCTCTGGACAGAAGAAGGCTAAAACGGCGGGTCTGACGGAAGCATAATGGATGACACCGTAGCAAGCACGAGTTTGATAACATCAGAGAATCGCTAACGGCGCTTCATTCAACACCAGAAGAAGGAAACTAGAGAAACTGAGAGCTTCTCCGAATTCTATTCGGTAAAGATTAATGGAGCGTTGCCATAATAGCCAACCAGTCTTGCTTAATTTTTTTTTACTTCTAACAAGATAAAAATTGCATCGAGCGTAGCAATCTATTCCGTGCTGAACCTCCAATATTCCATGTTTCATCGCTATAATCGCTGTTGAAAGACACGTAGTACTTCACCAGAAGATCGAAGGAGGAATTGGCCGGAAAGCCGTCCCCGTCTGTCTTCAAGTTCCGTTAAGCTTTCGCCGTCCCGACGTTGTCGGGTTGGTCGCGGCGCTATAACACCCTCGCGACATTCTTGGTCGTTTCGTTCGTTAGAAGCAACATGAAGTCTGGCTCGTCGGTCGACTTGGTCTTGATTCTCAGGAACTTCCGTAGCTTCTTACTCGTGATGCACTTGGTCTGCATTCCAGTATCATCCGTGATTCCCCTCATGAACATCTTCTCCACGACGACCCCTGCCACAGGAGTCCGTTTCATCCCAGTGGCGACTCTCGGAGGTGGCCTCCCATCTTCATCTGTCGCAGATTCTCCAACCACGCTTCTTCCGGTTGTCCACAGACAACACTTGGGGCTTCACTTTGCTCTGCAGTGCGAACGGGTTCGACCAGTGGCCTCACATCCGTTTCCAGCGCGGTGCCTCGACAGGAATCGAGTCTTTTGGCCGATAGGCCTTTCGCCCCGACACGGGGGAGACGTGCGCGAATGGCTGTTCCAGATCGAGAACTCCTGCCACATCAAAGGGATCGTGGTTGATGACGCGAACCCGCGGCTACCAGGAATCGCCTGGTCGGCGATGAATAAACTGGCTTCGGGATGGTTCCCGCACTGGTTTTCGACAACTCGAGAGAAACAGAACACGTAGGGGATTTCCGTGAGCATGTGCTCCGACATTTCGAAGCGTCGAAATACTATTCTGCTCTTCGTGAGATGCTACAGCGGCTCAGCTGACATCGATAGCTAGTAGTTGGCTTTCATCTTCCGTGTCGAGGGTATGAGCATGCTAGACCAAGTTCTATGCTACGCCAATGGACTTAAGTCTCGCGCGCGTAGCTACGTAAAGCTGGAGAACCCTGAGACGCTGAGCGTCACGATGAATCTTGCTCTCAAGTGTGAAGTCACTCACTTCGTCAAAGTCGTGCGCTACCGTCAAGCCAAAGGGGACAAGATATAGCCATCTGGCGATCCTTCGTCTGACAAAACCAAGGGGAAGCCTTCCCGTGGGAAGGGTCGCTATAAGACCAAATCGGACGGCAAGCGCCCCTTTTGCCGGTGAACTTGGGCAGGTTTCTGGGGCGCTCGAGTACGTTCCGCCAGTGCTTGGTTCAGCCAGTTGACCTCGGCGAGTAGCTGGGTGTTCGTCGGTATCGGCTCCTTGAGGTCAGGCTGCTGGGACCAACAACTGCTATCAGTATATCTGGAACAGGGAAGCTTGGGGGAGGGAGCGTCAAAAGGAAAGTGCCGCCCCCGCAGTTCAGACGGATGAATGCTTCTAGAGGCTTCCACAGCCACTCTATATCTGCATATGTATTCTTTACTAAACTATACTATTCGTAGTAATACTAACCGTTCATTCCTATAGGTCACTATTATTAACCAATCATATACACGTAGCGTTTCGTCTACACGTACTCACGCCCACACGATTAGTCTGATCTCGGCAATATTGACGCCGTAGCTCGAGCTGCTCCGATGAAATGAAATATTTGTATGTTGAATGACAGCCTTGTCGTTTCGAACAACTATAGATCATCTTGCAGGAGATTTTGAGTAGCGAGGTGAAGATCAGCCTTAGTGACCGCTTCCTTGTTGGTCCTTCCACATTAGTAGCAAGATAACATGCCAAATCAAGATAATAATATCGGTCGACTTCGAAGTAGTAGATACTCCTGACAATTTTACGAAAGCTAAAAAAACTCGTATTTCATTTAAAAAGAAATCTTTCGTGATATTCTTTTTTAGAGGTATTCTACATCGGTGTGGTGTTCCGTTTCTACCCTCCTCGTGTGAACCACCAAACCATTGACTGGTTTGGAGACGACACTTTCAAAAGCCGCATTCACTCTTGAACCTCTGACGATGGAGCCTCCGCCGGCTAAGAAGCGGCGTCATCGCTTCCAGAAGGTCGAGGAGCGCGTGAGCAACTTGCAGCATGAACTCACACTGCACGCCAAGACGACATGCGCCGTGGACGAGTCATCGCAGCTCTCGTTCAAGGAGGAACTAGGTCTGCAGGCGGAGCTCACGACGCTCGACAGTTTCCAGCTCCTGTTCCGCGCGCTGCAGCCGCTAGTGACCACCACTCCGCAGCTGCTGCATCACCTTAAGAAGGTGGTCAAGCGTCTTCAAAAAGAGCTGAAAGAGGCGCGCGATGACACTCAAGACCACGTCGTACAGCGCCAGCGCCTCGTGCCTGTGCTCAAGCTCGTCACCGCGCTGGCGAGAGAGCTCGGCAAGGAGTTTTATCCCCATTTCGCGGGCACATTGCCACTTGTCGTAGCTGTTATTGACACAAAGGATCCAGAGCTCAGTACGCAAGTATTTAAAACACTTACGATGCTGTTTAGTTACCTCAGAGTGCAGCTATTGGCTGACATGGAGGCTGTGCACAAGTGCTACTTCCCGTTACTTGGCCATCCAAGGGAATTCGTCCGCAATTTTGCAGCTCAGACGCTGGCTGTGTTACTAAGACGACTGGAGTCGCCCAAGGCTATGAGGAAGTACTTGCGCGCCTATTTAACGGCATTGGTGAAGGGCTCTGGACGTAGTAATGAAATCCTGAGGGACGGATCGGCTAAATTGTTCTTTGCACTGGTGAAAAACGTGAACCATGGCTTCCACTCGCGGATGCGCGAGGTCCTGCTGTTTCTATTGGGCTCGTTCCGCCCAAAGGAGGAAGAAAAAGAGACGCAGGAGTATCTGGAGCAACAGGAAGCAGTGTTTGAGATCGTGTACCAGACCTGCGGACTCATGATGAAGCACACGGATGCAGACCACTCGGGCGAGATGCTCGAGTGCTTAGTGTTGGTGGTCAACAAGGTGACGAAAATTCGACATGAGAAGGAGGAAGCTCCCACGGAAGCGGACGATTTGTACTTGAGTCGTGTGCTTCGTGTTCTGCGTGGGTTCTTGACTTCGCGAATCGGAAGGCTGGTTACAGGAGCGAGTGATGCCTACGAAGTGCGTGTGCCCAGTGTACACAAGGTCTGTGCAACACTGGTGTCGCCTGAAAACAAGGTGCTTGTCTCCCAGAGCACTGCTCTGTGTGATGCGCTCATGAAGACGTTTGAACCGGTTTGGCGGCTATTCCCCGCTGAAGATGATGTCATGTCCGCACAGATGAAGGCCATTTTTGCTGCGGCTGCAAGCAATGATGAGCAGGAGTACTGGCGTACCAAGATTCTCGAGTTCGTGAACAAGGAACTGCGTAATACTCATATTGACGTGAGTTTCGTGCTCGAATTTGTGCTGCCCAACGCTATGGAGTTCGCGCTGAAGACTCTTATCAAGACTGATGTGGCTACGTTTAGCTCGTTGCTATACCAACTGGGTGACTACGTTGCAGACAAGGCAGGAGAAATAAATGAAGACCAGAGCGCGTATATAGTTCGCTCGAAGGCGGATAGTCCGTACTGGCTGCTGTCGCTTGGTGAAATTGATGCCAACGCTGAGAAGACGCTGTTCGACACTGGTCGGAAGCTGTTTAAGGAGAGCGAAAAGAACAAAGACACGGAGAGTTTGGCTGTGTGCTGGAAGTTTTGCAAGGTCTTGCAGCTTCTGCGCTTGAATGATGCCAAACTGATTAGTTTTACTACACCCCTCATCACAAAGTGCGACGAGAGGTTGAAGGACGAATCCTCTGCGTGTACTACTCAAGTTGCGGCTCTGCGTGCTGAGCTGTGGCAGCTGCAGCAGTTTGCCAAGCACCAGAAGAGCAAAAGCTCGACGATCACAACGAAGTATGTGGAGCAGGCATTGCTGGGAAAAGAAGCTTCGTTCAAGACCTTGTCAACACTGTTGATGCTGATCGATACGGAACCGGAGGAGAAGCAACACGCAGTTCTAACGGTCGATTCATTATCGCGTGTAGCAAAGTCTCTGCTACCTACACTGCGATCACCCGCGCATGAGCTACGCTTGGTGGCACTACAGTTACTGGCTCGGTTCAAGCGCTTGAACTTCCTAGATTCCGACAACGGATTGCTGACCGGTCTGTGCGATCTACCGGATGTTTGTGTGAACCTTGAGCTCTCCTGCAAGAAAATTTCTGTTGCCACTGAGCGTGAGGTGGTGCGTCTGCTAACGCGTGTGAAGATCCTGTGCCGCTCGCCGCAGACTCCTGAGCTGTACAAGAAAATTGCTGTGAACCAGTTGCTCGGTCTGTACCACGTCAAGTTTTCCACGATCTGGACACACATCGCCGACGCAGTGGAGACTGCTGTTCGGCTGCACTTTAACGAGTTTTGGCCTTGCATTAGTGCTGAGCTTTTGAAGGCTTTACTCCGACATGAAGATGCTAATGAAAAGCAGGATAGCGACTCAAGTACGAGCGATGTCGTCGCGGAGTTTGAGCGTGTGTGCATGCTGGAACAGGGGAAAGTGCCTGCCTCACAAGCTACAGACGCAGCTACTCACCATTCGCTGTTGTGGAAGGGCCTCTTGAAGTTCACTGACCTGGTCGAAGCCAAGACGAAGTTCATGGTGCCGCTCTTTCTCACGTTCTTACGCGACCAGTACAGCTCGATTTACACGGATGAGTTGGACGCCAAACGCCTCGAAGAAATCGACCAGGCCCTTGCTAAACTTGAAGAAACCAACAGCAAAGACGAATCTCCTGACTGGCGCAAACCTGTTGAGTTCCAAGGCCTGACAACGAAGGAAGTGCGTGGCAAATTTGTGGATCAATTGAAGCTGTTCGCTGCCTTCCGCAATATGAAGGGGGCGTATGCGCAGCAGCTGCTACATGCACTCTTCTTCGATCTGCTAATGAAGTCGGACGAGGTGATCTCGAAGTTGGCATTGCAGTGTCTGTACGCCTTCGGTAGCAAGGCTATTGTTTCGTATAAGACGCAGCTGAATCGACTGACGGACTCTGCTTCATTCCGCGAAGAACTCGCGAGCTTTAAGATTGGAGAAGGAGAAGGTGTCGTGCTGCGTGAACACCGTCAGGAGCTGTTGCCTGTGCTGCTGCGACTGCTGTACTCCAAGTGTGTCAGTAAGAAAGGGCGTAACAACGGTGATACAGTGGCCGCTCGACGTTCTGCTGTTCTAGCGTACTTGGCTGCGTTGGAGGCGCCTGAACTTGCCAGCTTCGTGGAACTGGTGGTGCGCGCATTTGATGTCACGATCGAAGCTCCCGAGACTTCTACTCCAGGTGCACTTGTCACCGCCGAAGCGGTGACGCCTGTAGTAGCCGTTTCCACCGTGCAACCCTCACGTATCTTGGGTTTCTTGAATCTCCTGGAGGATCTGATCGACCAACTTGGAGTTAAGCTGGCTGCATTCGTTCCTCGAATTGCTGATGTGCTGCTGGCTATTCTCCAGATCAGCATTGTATCAAGTGAAGATGACGATATGGATGGCTCAGCCGAAGCCGAGGAAGAGGATACGACGGTCGCGGTTGGTTCGAAGCGTAAGGCTGATGAGCCTTCGTCGACCGTGGACACGCTGGTGACTTCTGCGTCGATGAAGAAGCAGATTCGCATGTTGACCTACCGCCGACTTGCGGAGATGATTGACATGGTACGAAGGCATAGTCTTATCGAAACTCATTGAGAGGCTCAGATACTAACCATCGATGTGTGTTTATGTAGTTTGACACCCTCGTGCATCTTGAACCGTGGGTAGTTGCAGTGCTGGACACCTCTCGCGAAGCGGTCACGCACTTGCCTAGTGCTGTGGTCGGCGCAGGCAAGGCATCAGCACTTCTGGAGCTACTTGTGGCAATGGGTCGTGCTGATCGAGCGCGTCAGTGGATCCCGGAGCCTCTGGTGCTCAACGTCATCTCGTGCTTGTCTGCTGGGCTCACGTCGTCCAGCGCAACGTCTTCAGCTACTCGTGGCATTTCACCTGAAATCCTGGACTCGATTCTGCAGTTCATGGATTCACTACTCGACGGAGATGAAGGTTTGTTGTCTGAAGACCAAGACGAGACTATGACCGCCTCCAAGCAGGATAAACTGCTGATACCTCAGATCCCTTTTGTCTTGGAGCAGTTTGTCCAGCGTTTCCAAGCTAAGGCGGCACGATACGCGAGCGACCGGTACGCAGGATCGTCACGGAAGGAACTTACCTTCCTCTGCCGTCTGTCGCATCACTTGGAAGCCTCCGAGGGAGACATTGCCGTCGCTGCGCATGATTTGTTCCAGTTGTTGCTACCGTTCTTGCTGCGCAACCACCAGACATCGCCGAAGGACAAGGAGAACTTGTTGGAGGTATTGGCGCACATGGTGCCCAAGCTGTCGGAGCCAAAGAAGCATGTGCTTGCCCTTGCGCGCCTGTTAGCCCCAGGAGCGAACTGCATCGCTGATCGTGATCCTCGTCTCAAACTGGTGGCGGTGTTTACAGCGCTTGGTGCGCACTCAGCGCTTAAGGAGCTGGCTCCGGTGGCGGAGTTGCTGGTTGAGCTCAACGCGTATGATGCCAAGCGGATTGAGGAGACGGACTATGAACGCCGTCTTATTGCGCTGAATCGCTTGAACTCGTCACGTTTTGCTGACTTTACGCACGAGACGCACTTGTTAGCACCCCTTGTGGCGCAGTGTCTGCAATCTATGCATGACACGGAGTTTGCAGTGCGTAGCGGTGCACTTGTTGCACTTTCGACTTTCCTGGAACTAGCCGCAGAGGTCGCAGTGGAGCAAAATACGCGTGAAGACGCTGTCAAGTGTCCCGTGCTTAATGCGCTGGAGTCGCTAGTCATGCCTTGCGTAAGATCAAGTTTGCGCTCGACGGATGAGAACACTCGACGTGGCTTTGTGACGTTGTTGGGATCGCTAGCGGACCAGCACAAGGCGTTCAAGCAGTTTGCATTCGTCCCAGCTGATCTGATACTGGCGCGTAACCAGGAAGACCCTGAAGCCGATTTCTTCTACAACATCACGCACATCCAGGCCCACCGCAGACGACGTGCTCTTCAGCGTCTCAGTGCCCTCATGGACTCCATGGCTGCCAAGGCGAAGGACCAAGTTGAAGGCGAAGAAAGTGAGGAACCTCAGTGCTTCTCGAACTCGACGGTGAATGGTGTGATCTTACCGCTGGTGCTGCACTTTGTCTACGAGACACACGCGAAGAGCCAGGAATCTCTACGTGCTGAAGCCGCAGCTTGTGTCGGAAGTGCTGCTGGGCTTCTGGGCTGGTCGCACTACCTCTCGCTTCTCCGCAGACTGCTCAAGTCGATCGATGGTCACGTGGAGATGGAAGGCGCTATCATTATGTCTATTTGCGCCGTGATCGACCACTTCCACTTCGCAGCTCCAGGTGCTGCCACTCAATGGCAAACACTAAAGCAAATGGCTAGTCAGCCAGTCGAAGCTGACGATGAGGATGAAGAAGACGAGGGTTCTTCCAAGGTTCAGGGCAACATGGAGACGCAGGTGCTTCCGATGCTCTATTCATACTTGTTCAAGGGTGTGGCTTCGAAGAAGAGTTCCAAGTCGCGGGACGATGATGGAGAATCGACCTCAGTATCTGAGGAAGCCGTATCGGTTCGTGTGCCTCTGGCGCTTGCAGTCGTCAAGGTATTGCGTCGACTGCGTGCTGAGACGTTCCAGCGTGAGCTGCCCAAGTTGCTGCTGAAGTTCGCGAACTTACTGAAGAGTAAGGATGAAGCTGTGCGTGTGTCGGCCCGTACGACGCTCGTTCGCATCGCTGTGGAACTTGGCTCGAGTTTCCTTCTGCCGATCGTGGAAGAACTTCGTCACACGTTACGTGATGGCTACATGGTCCACGTGTTGTCCTTCACTGTGCATGCATTACTGGAAAAGTTACCGGAAATCATGCAGGCAGACGGAAAGACTGGCGTACCCAAAAAGCCGCAGTCATTGCTCACACAGAGCAAGCAGCAAGAGGCTGAGTGTGAGGCTGAGTTTGCATCGCCGTTGGATGCTTGTGTGCCTAGTCTGATGGAGATCCTAGCCGCAGAGTTGTTCCAGGGCATGACGACGATCGGTGAGGCAGCAGAGGCTGCTGCTGGAGGCGTGGAACGTAAATCTGCCCAAAAGTCCAAGATGAAAGAGGCACGAGCGAGTGGAGGACGTAGTCTGGACTCTATTGAGCTGTTGGCAAGATCACTCCCCTTCCTACCCAACCCAAGCATCCACGAAGTTGTGAGTGCGCTTGTGAACCGCTTCCAGGCCACCGACGCTGGAGCGCAAGCCACCGCTGCGTTACAGGAGGCACTCAAGCGTGTGGCCATTGGACTTGCCAAGAACCCGTCTGTGGAGTCGTCCTACATGTTCCTGTACGCTTACAACGTTCTCAACTCGAGTCTCGAGAGTCTGCGGCCGGCCACTGAACGGGAAAAGGAACAGTACGAAGCTGGCGGTAGCAGCACTGCGCTGGTGACCTCCTGGCTTGTATCGGAGAAGAGTGCTTCTGCCACAAAGTTACTTGCCAAACGTGTGAGTTCCCTGGACACTGCACGCGTAACGATGCAGCAGCAAGTGACCGGTTTTGACAAGATGCGTCAACAGCAGCAAAGCAAGACCAAAAAGCAAAGACGTGAGGAGATCGCCGCTCTCCTGGCCGAGAGTACGGCACATCTGCGAGAGCTGCTGAACTTTGCTGTTTTTTTGGTGTTCTCTTTCCTTCGCAAGAACGGCAATACGAAGGACGAGGAAGATGGCAAGAAGAACGTCAATGCTCCGGCTCAACTTGTCGATCCGCTTGTGCCGCTGTTGATGCGCTGTGCAGGTGAATCGAAGAACGACCGTGCAGTGATCAATGCGTTGAAGTGCTTAGGCTCGCTGCTTCCCCGTCAAACCGAACTTCCTGCTTTGAGGGTGGCACGTACGCCGCTTCTTGATCGTCTCTTTAAGATCCTGCAACAGGCTGGGGCTGCTACGCGCAACGAGATGGTACAGACGTGCTACCGAACGCTTACTGCGCTACTCAGACAACAACAGGGATTGGAGCTTGCCAAGGAGAACGGGACTGCAGAGAAGAACTCAAAAAGCGAGAACCTCCGACTTACAGAGCCTCAGCTGCGTGTGCTTCTGAGCTTCTTGCGTGCTGATCTCGACGAGCAAGACCACCAGAATGCGACGTTTGCTCTGCTCAAAGCTATCGTGAACTCGCGCCTCGTGATCAGCGAAGTGTACGACGTCATGCTACGTGTTGGTGAGCTGTTGGTGCAGAGCGACGCCCCCGGCGCTCGTCTGAACTGTGCGACCATCTACCAGACGTTCCTACTCGAGTATCCGCTTGGCAACAAGCGGCTGTCTCGTCATCTCAAGTTCCTGGTTGACAATTTGAGCTACGGCCATACCACTGGACGCTCTGCTGTGCTGGAGGCGCTGCGTTCGCTGCTGTCGAAGCTCCCTCAGGACCTCGTGAACGCTCGTTCCCAGTTTTTCTTCTTGCCGCTGGTGTTACGACTGGCGAACGATGAGGCTTCCGAGTGTCGTGACCTCGCTCGTGCTGCGTTGAGCACATTGGTGCGTCGTCTAGGCAACAAGGAGCTGAACGAGAGTATTCTACTGGTAGGTACATGGTGGACACAAGCCTCGAACTCGGATACCGTGGATGCAGTCAAGCTGCTAGGAACGGCGGCGCAGGTGACGACTTTAGTGCTGGAGACTCGACCCGAGTTTTTCGAGCGTAGCGCTCCCCAAGTGCTGCTCGCGGCCCGCTCAGCACTTGAGCGTCGTCAGCGTGAGCTTGAGACCGCGGAGGACAGCAACCAGGTGCGATGGCAGCCGACTTACCACGTTTGCGTGACTCTCACTGCCTTCAGTGATCATCTTACCGGTCCTTACGAGCTCTGGCTGGAGGAATCCAAGCCTACCAAGAACTTCTTGGATGTCGTGATGCTGCCGTTGCTTCAGTATCCTCATGCATGGGTGCGTCTCGGTGCAACTCGGTTACTGACGTCGTATCTGCGTCGTCGACAAGCCAGTACACTCACGTATAAGGCTCCAGTCAAGCGGTTGTCTGGAGCCCTCGAACGTCTACACAACGGAGCCGTGTACCTGCAGCGTCCTGGACGTCTGTTTTCTTGGGCGAGTGCATTCTGCAAGTTGCTCGAAGCTCCGGCATTGAACAGTGAGCTGGCGGACGAAGTGCTCACTGCGTTGCCGTTTCTGTGCGAGGCGCTGGAGGCCACAGACGTTCCACAGGACGTGACTGCTGAGGCTCTGGTGGATGAAGCGGATGGAAACGAGGTAGCAGACGAAGAGGCTGATGAGAAGGAAGTCGAGGAACTGCAGCGTCGTGAGGAGGAAGAGAAGAACGATGAACGTGCCAAGTCGCGGACGCCCATGGGCTGGCTGCTCACTCGTCTGTCGTATGTGGCTCGTGGCTCGAGCTGCAGCAATGAGGTCCAGTCTGTGATATTCAAGCTGTTCGCTGCTCTGTTGCACAACCACGACGCCGCCTTCGCTGAGAAGTACGTCGTGCAGTTCATCAACCCGCTGTACCGCGCGACTAGCAAACTGGAGGAGCTACAAGCTCAGCAGGAGTATCTGATGTTGCAGAGACAGCAGAACCGCAACAAGAACCGTAAAAGCGGCTCCGCTCCGGAGCCTGTGACGCCGCCTGAGAGTGCGCTATTGGCCCAAGAAGTGCTGCAGCTTCTCGAGCAGAAGCTAGGAGCTACGCCGTTCTTGGAGGCGTACTCGTTCGTTCAGAGGAAGATGGCTGCACGTCGTGCTGCACGCAAGCTACAACGTCGCACCGAAGCCGTGTCGGATCCGCAGCGTGCTGCTCAGCGACGCATGCAGAAGAACGAGCAGAAACGCCGTACCAAGCAGATGCGTAAGCGCAAACACGCTGTGCTCAAGGGCTCGACCTCTGCGGCAGTGCGTCCCACCAAGGTGCTTCGTCCTGGTGCCGAGTAAATCCCATTAGACAAAACTAGATAGAGATAATTCCATGTATGTTTGAACTCCTTATGTCGGCGGTATCCTCCGTCGTGTGCTGCTCTTTGCTCAAGTTCCAGTTCTGGATATCGACTCAAGACTAGGTGGGACTAGGAATAGTCCAGTGTCCGTTTTAAGATCAACTTTAAATCTGAAGAACTCGAACGCATCGACAGGTTGAGATAATGACTAACAACAACCACGAGGAGGATCGTCGGTGGGGTAGCAAGACTTCTTTTCTTGCTCCAGCTCCAATCGCCAATGCGAAGACCCAAGCTTTTCAACGTCGACGACGAAGAATACCCCCTCGGGACGTGCAGCAGCATGAGCCGTGGTTGTTCCAAAGCGCCAGCATGAGTCCGCTGCCAATGCCGACATCCTTGCCCAGTCTTTCACTTTCAGAGAGTGATACCTCATTCTTCTACTTGGACTTGAACAGTTTAAAGAGTTTGTTACCTCCGTCCGATAGCCGACGTCGTCCGAGAAGTAGCGAGGAGAGCTATAGCAACTATCGAGGCGTTCGTGGATCTTCCAGTCGAGGACGACAAGCCTTACCGGCTCGACTGGAGGCGTTGAATCTCACGAGTAAAGCGATAGACATGAAGCATCGACCTCGAAAAAGAAGGCGACAAATGGGTCTGGCATCCAAGCAGAAGCTTCGTCGAAAGGCTCTACGACTTGACTCGGCCAAGGTGAGACCATCCACTCAAGAGCTAAATGACACAGATGCTGCTGCTGTTTACTTGTCTCCGACTAAGCGCACTCGAAACAAGGCGAGGAAGAGTAACACGCTGCAGCCTGTAGGAGACCGTCGCCCAGGATCAAGGCGAAGACCAGCGATGCATTACGCGTTCGACTACGACTCGGACGGCCAAGAACGAGCGGAAAAGCCTGAGACTCCGTTTGAAGATCTTGACGAAGAGCAGCGACAGAAGACTCTGATTGCTACACATTTAAACTTGACGCTGGAAGAGTACGAGCGGTTGGATGCAGCTTTCGGGAACACCTCGCAGCCTAGTCTCTCTTCGGAGGACGACCGATCCATGACAGAGCGGTATTATGAAGAATTCCAGGAGTTTGACGTCGATAACAGCGGCTCAATATCCCCAGATGAGCTTCGGCAGCTACTACTGGCGTCGGGTGAAGATATGGACGATACTGAGCTCGCTTCAGTCATCCAGCAAGCTGATACGGACCATGACGGTGAGATCAACTTCCGCGAGTTCATCGCTCTGATGCGCGCTCGCAAGCGACTTCTTCGTGTGGCTAACCACATGGGAGTGACGGGCAGTGGACTAACAAGTACTATCAGCACAGCTAGCCCTGGGTTTAATGGGTTTACAAGGAATGCCGGACAAGTTCTACCCCCTTTGAAGCTCGCAGCACGACAAGCCAAGCGCCATCTACAGCCTCAAAACCGCGCGCTTGTTGCCGCTCGCTCGACGCCATCGTGTCTTCGACCGGGTGCGAAAGTCGACATTAGTGATCTCCGACGAGAGCTCGCACTGTCCGAATATGGCATTCAAGAGCTCAACTCGAAGGTGCGCGAGGGACTGCAATGGGTTCAACAGCATTGCCCTGTGAGATCTCTCAAGGCCCAGATCTTCTGTCATCGATGGGGCATGGAGAAGGTTCATCAGCTTTTCTTACGACTTCAGTCACAGCAGATCTCTCGAGCTTTCCGTAAGTGGACGGCATTCCTCATGTTCGAGCGTAACAAGATCAAGGCCAACATGTTCCTGAAATGCAAAGGCAGTCAGAAGATGACAGCTATCATGAACAAGTGGAGACGGAAAGTTACAAGGCGCAAATTTGTGTGCTGGAAGACCGAGTGTATCGTTGAAGCTCGTAACGAACTCCACTCCGCAGCTATCGAGATCCAGCGTGTAGTTCGCGGAGATCTTGCTCGCTTGCTTCGGCTCCGAATGCAAGAAGAAGTCGCTATTATCCACATCCAGGCGTTTATACGAGGGCGATTGTCACGGACGTTGGCGAGTCGAAAGCGTCGGGCGAAACTGGAGCACGACGCTGCATGTCAGTTGCAGCGATGTTACCGTGGTTACACTGGCAAACGTTTAGCTCGGGCTCTGTTCAAGGCGCAACGAGAGACTCTCGCAGCGTGTCGTATCCAACGAGCCTTCAGAAATTTCCAGCGTCGTGAGCTTCTGCGTGTAATCCAGCAGTCCAAGCTTGAAAACGATAGCGCTATCGTGGTGCAGTGCTGTATTCGTAGCTATCTCGCACGACGAGAGCGATGGTGTCGTGCAACTGACAGAAAGCGAGAGCGCAGTGCGAAGGTTCTTCAACGATATGTACGTGGCTATCTCGCGCGATGCCGTGTGCTCAGGATGAGGAAGCAGATACAAGCTGCTTTGGTTATCCAGTGTTTCTTCCGAGTTTGTCACTCGCGTCGTCGAGTGCACATACTGAAGACGGAAAAAGAGACCAAACAACGACAAGCGTTTGAAAGATCAGCAGCTATCCGGATCCAGTCTCGATGGCGCTGTTTTATCACACGGAAGCACTATGTGCTTGGCAAGCAACGGCGAGAGGAAGCTCAGAAGCTGGAGAGGTTTAAACGACTCACCAGTGCTGTAGTTATCCAGTCCTTGTATCGTGGATACCTCGCTCGCCGCCGTGCACAGCGTGCTCGATATGAAAAGCTGAAATGGATGAACTTCACTCTCATGAACACCAGCGCATTGAAGATTCAGGCATTTTGGCGTGGCTTTCATGGTCGCTTGGCCTCGCACCTTCGACTACAAGCTCAAAAAGTTCAGCAACACCAAGAGAACGAGGCAGCGAAGCGTATTCAAGTCATCACGAGAGGCAAGTTAGCTCGGGATAAGCGTCGACAACTAGAGCTAGAGCGTGCCAAGCTGGCGTCACAGCAACGTACACGGGTGAGAGCTGCTCTTCGTATCCAGAAGGTGTTCCGCGGCAAACAAGCTCGAAAAATGGTACAGGAACTCCAGCAGAAACATCGTGAGGAAGCTCGTCTTGCACTTGAGCGCTTGGTTCACCAAACGAAGACACGCGCTGCTACAAAGCTCCAATGTTGCTCTCGGCGGTTCCTGGCGCGTTGTCAATATTTGCATCAACGGCAAGAGATGGAGAGACGTAAGCAGCAAGAAGAGCTCCGAATCACGCAAAACCATGCCGCGATTGTGATCCAGTGCGCTATCCGGCGTGCTGGAGCTCGACGCGTTTTGCTTCAGCGACGCCGCGAGTTTGAGAAAAGAATCTCCATGATGGCATCGGAGAAGGCGCACGATGAGATCGAGAGGCTGCGGCAGGAGCAGGAGGAGGAGCTATTGAAGCTCAAGATGCAGTTGATGTTCCAGGCGAGTAGCGCAAACGAAGAAGCCGAGAAACTCCGTGAGGAGTTGGCTCTACAACGCGAAGAAGAGGAAGCCCGTCGCAAGGAGGAGGCTCAAGAGCTAGCACGTCTTCGACTCGAGACGCTCATGCAGCAGCGCGAGATCGATACTCGAATTGAGCAAGACAAGCAAAAGAAGATGGAAGCTCAACGGCTGCGCGAGAGGCTGGAGGCGGAGAAGCAGGCACAACAGGAGAAGGAGGCTGCTATGCGCACACAAGAGAACGAGGAGTTAGCGGTCATGAAGCTCGCGACGCTACTGCCAACTAAGCTGGAAGAGCAAGACAAGATAGACCGAACACTGCAACAAGAAGCAGAGCACTTGAAGCAAGCTGCTCTCGCGATCCAGAAGGACCAGGCCCGGTTGAAAATCCAAGCAGTATGCTTGAAGCACGTGGCTCGGAAGCGGCTTGTTAAGCTGCAGCAAGCTCAATCTGCAGCTATGGCAAGTATCCACGACGAGGAGGAGCGCTTGAGACTTCAGGCCGAACAGCACAAGGAGGTGGCTTTAGCGCGGTTGAAGGCCATGATGGATGACGAGGCTCGCGCACGCGAACAGGAGACCAAAGAGCTCGAACTTCAGATGCTTGAACGTGCTCGAAAAGAGAAAGAGCGGATCGCTCTTCGCAACTCGTCGGCTAGAAAGATTCAGTCTCGTGCCCGTGGGTACTTGGCTCGGCAGCGCGTGAAAGCTATTCAACACAAAATCGAGAAAGAACGTGAGGATCGTGCGAAAGCAATGCAAGAGACAATTGAAGCTGCTGAAGCGGAGGTGGCTGAGGCACTTATCGAAGCGGGTGAAGCTGAGCCGGATGCCGACGAGGAGACGAAAGCTGACGAGTGGGGCGAGTACTGGGACGAGAACGCGCAGGCTTCGTATTTCTACAATATCCGCACACAGGAGGCAAGCTGGACTCGGCCGGTGTCAGCGCTATCTGCGAAGACAATGGAGAACATGATGGGAGCTGCAGGAGTGGCAGAAGAGCAAGAGCAGAATGCAGCCGCAGGATACGTCGACTACGCCGCCAATGGACAAGTTGATGAAAATGGGTACCCCGTTTCGGAAGCCGCAGCCGAGAGCTATGCAGACGAGTATGGCTACTACGACCAATACGGTCAGTATCACTACTACGAGCAGAACAACGCGGGGTATTATGGTGCCCCTCCATATGGGCAGGGATACCCACAGATGATGCAACCGAACTATGCGGCCGCTGCAGCCAACTATGCGTATCAGGCTGCTGCAGCGATGGCATTCGGCCAAGCTATGATGTACGGTGCACCTGTGATGGGATATGGTGGTAACCCGGCGATGGTTCAACCGGCGCAGCAGTATCCCCAGGCTCCAGCGACAGACTCACGTGCCGAGACAGAAAACGCTGGAGAAGCAGTCTCACCAGATCCATGGGAGAAATTCTATGACCAGTACACCGGCGCAGCATATTACTACAACAACATTACAGGCGAGCAATACTGGGCATAACAGAATCATAGTACAATTGTCAGTATCGACCTCGATTGTTGTAGTGTAAGACGTCCATTCCTATTGCCAACTGCCGTCAGTCTTCGTCCACGTTCATCATAGAGCTATCATCGGAAAAGTTCAGACTTGAGCATGCTAGTGACTGTCGACTGCGTTCGATACTGCTGTAGGACTGATCCAGACGCCGTAAGTTGCTGTCATTTCCTGTCGAACGACGAGCTCTGAGAGGAGTGAGACCACTTGTTTTTGGGGCATTTTTCGGGGGCGGCTCCGCAAATTCAGGAAATGAACCGGGTCCACCAGACAGAGACTCTTCAAACGCAATGGTGATCATGGACCCCGCAAGTGTATCTTCAGGGGCATATGCAAGTGCCTAAATTATGCAAAATGTTAGAGCTGATGAAGCACATCGGAAAAAGGTCTATCAAATCAGTGAGATCCTTACCGCATGGTAAGATTCGATTGCTTGTTCTAAATTTCCCTTCATATGATAGGTGAAGCCCAGTGCAGCAAGAATGGAGGACTGGAAGCACGAATCGAAGACAATATAATCACGCCATCATTTCACTTAATAAAATCGATGAGAAAACGTACATTTCGAGGTGATAATCGAAGTGCACTTTGGAAGTAGTGAATAGCTTGGTCAAACTTCCTGGTTAAAGAAAAATGTCAGGTTAAAGTTGCAAATTACCACAACGTTTTTCAATGCTTGACGCACCGCAATTTGCGGTATGAATATCCGAGATTGAACAGCGTCGGCTCCCATGCCTCCATAAGTCGCTAAGAACAATAAGAAAACGATCAAGATTGAGTGTCCGAGAGACCGCACAAACTTAACAGTACAATTCCTACCTCAGGGAGACCTTTGCACAGCTGAAGAGCCTTGGTGAACATCTCGATCGCTTGAGGATAGTCCTTTTCCTTGTAATAGACACTGCCCAATTCGTTGTAAACCAATGGGTCGGTAGGGCAGATAACGCTTGCCTGCCGAATAAACTCCAGGGCTTGGACTAAATTGTTGGTACGAAGATACTCCATGCCGATATACAGAGGTGGCAGATGGGAGCCCGGAAAAAGACTTAACGCCGTCCGATATGACGACATGGCCTGATCACTTTCATCCTGTGCAGCAAATGAGTTCCCAAATCCGATCCAGGCTGGCGCATAGCTCGGCTCTAGAGATGTCGCTTTGCTGTTAAATCAATTGTAAGCCATCACCCTACTAAAATGCTAAGTCACATGCACGTACTGGAAATATCTTTGTGCGGTCTCGTATTTCTGAATCAGGAGATAGTAGCAGCCCACAGTATACCATGCTGAAGCTTTCGTTGGATACACATCCACCTTCAACAAATAGTGTCAGCGTTGCACGATAGTATGATAGCCAGTAAAGCTGCTTACCATTTGATGTGCGTAGTGATAAAGCTCTCGCTTCTTTCCTAGTTCTACAAGTGTACCCACATACACCGAAATTACGCGGAAATTAAACGGGTCTCTTTCACGAACACTGGATCAAGGAGGTGCAAACGCATGGTTAGTGTCTCAACGTGAACGTACGACAGCATTTTTCCAACAGCAATCCCAGTACCTTTCGCAAATCTCGTGCGCCAGCTGAATGTCGTGCTGATAATAATACGTCTCAGCTCTCGTGATATTCTGCATATACCAGCGTCAAGATACGTTAGCACTATCACTCCGTACCAACCACCACAATCCGCACAAATCTAACCAATTCTAAGTTGTCTGCTAAGCCGAACTCCTGCTCCACTTCAGCAAATCTCTCCTCAACTGGAGTTGTTGTGTCGTACTGTAACACCACATCAACCGGACTACGTGAGTACACAACGAACACTCCAACAATACGCCTAACGTTCAATCCCCACCTTCCCCACGTGAGTCTGGTACAATAGCTCCAGTAGCTGCATTTCATCCACAGAAAAGTCCAGCGACGCCACCAGCTCCTTCTCCTCTTGTGCCGACAGCATTTGCTTGTCAAACAGATGAAAGAACGCCTCCGAGCAGTGCACGTCACACCGCAGCGCAATGCGGAAGTAAACCGTAGCGTTTTCCCGATTGCCGATGGCTTCAAATGTCTCGCCCATCAACAGCGCCAGCGACGACACCACATTGATAACTTCAGCATAATCATCTCCTGCATTTACCTGCTGCACTTTCTTAGCAAACAGCACCACGTCATGCTCCCTATCGGGCAGCACCGATCCCAGCAGCTCCAGACACTCCTCCTTCTGCTTAATGGCCAGCATGCACCTGCCCAGCAGCAAAAAAGCTCTCAACGTCACGTGGCTAGGCACTGTAATTCCCTTAACGGCCTCTACGTCAGTGAGTCTGGCTTTCTTGATGGTGTGGATAGCTCGGTGGAACTCTCTGTTTAAGTAGCACGCGTCTGCGAAGAGCAGCACGTCATTATCGTTGCTGGGAGACATGGACACCAACTTATCCGCGTAGAAGAGTGCGGACGCCGCGTGGTGCTGCGCGCTGCATATTTTCACAAGCTGTCTTAGTCTGTCCACCGTGATCTGTCTACTGTCCTTCTGGACGCTTGTTGACGTCTTCCGATTAGTCAATGGGGGCTTTGTAGCAGGTTTATTGTCCTCCAAATGCCCTCCAGAGTGCGTGGGGTGTCGTACAGCGTCCTCCCCGCTCTTAAGTGTCCACATGGATTCTGCGTCCTTGCTCACTTCGTCCTGCTCTTCGTCCTGATCCGTGTCCTGGTCCGTGTCCAACGGTCTTCTGGCTGTGATGAAGGCTGCGGCTTGGTCCACTCTTCGTCGGCGCTTCTTGGCTCGAGCACTGGCCTCGTCCGCTGCGCTAGAGGCTGCCGAGTCGAAGGCGAGTGTGCGTGTGGTGCAGTCTGGAGTCTGGACAGGCGACGGTTGGCGCCATGAAGAGCCATGAATAGAAGGGGCGGGAGGCCGGCACGGCGTCGGCGGCGGCGGTGCCATGAGAGGAGAGATGACAGAGTGAATGTCGCTAGTAAAGAAGGAAAGGACTGCGGAGCGACAAGCAGGTGATGCTGATGCAAGAGGTTGCCTTTCCTGTGGGATGTATACACTAAATTACGTACTATTACGTATGACACATTAGAAACGCACTCAGGAGATAGAAATGTCGAAGTTGAAGTGGTTAGCCAATCAGAATGCTTTTTAACTCGTACCCTGTGTTTGGCAGTTTGTCAACGGAGTCGTAAATTGCTAGCACAACAGATTGGTGCTTCCAGTTCACTCGATCTTTTTGGTGACAAAGCTCGCGCTCAATGATGGCAAGTTGTACTGCAAACAAGATTCTTAGCCTACCTGGCTAGCCGCAGAAGAAAGCTGACTGATCACCATGGTAGAGTAACGGCACGGATGTTGACAAGAACTGTATTGAACACTACGTGTTCAACCAGGATAGATCTCCCTGGGTCCGCAAGGATCTGAAAGTCGGCGTCATCAGCGATGTGCTGAATATTTTGCTTTGTACTATCAATCCCTTCAACGCTTAATCAGTTAAATACACTCCTAACTACCAGGGAATTCCACAGGTTTCCAAGTATATCGTTCTTGACAAATGCGGTTCTGCACCATCCATTGACATTAGATAAAATCAAGGATCTGCTTCAGTAAAACTACATGTATTGAAGCAGCGTCCTTGATTTATTTGCAATAATGGACATGCGCTTTGCTTTCTTTATAATTTCAGTGACCGAGATAAAAACACTTGCGTCGCTACACTTGGCATTTTGGAAATATGTACGCGAATACTTTGGGAACTATTAGTTACTATCAGTAAAATCTATACAACTACTACAACTAGTATCTGCTGGCAAACTTCACAGACCGAACTTGCCACTTACCGGCGAAAGGCTGGGCTACTGGACTCTCTGTTGAGACTACAAGAGCGTATTTCCACTGAAATATCTGAGCTACTCAGTAGTTGTGTCTCACAAAACTCAAGCGCGGAACTACTGCTCGAAAAGAAGCTCCCCTCGTCCGTGATATTGTTCCTGACGAGCAACATTTGAATTTCGGGTATCGCCCCAGCGTACACAACGGTGATACCATGATTGCTGCAGTACTTTTGTAGGATGAGGAAAGCACTCCGTACCACCGTGGAATCTGCCGCCGTGACACCAGTGAAGTCCATGACCACATACTCGGTCTCCACAATGCCAGGATTACTTGCTGGGGTTCCGTCTAGGCACTCGATCAACGGCGTCCGGTTCTCGTTAGGAGTGAGCAGTAGCACACTTGCATCGCTATAGTAGTATGCCCTATCACCGTCATCATCGACAGCAGCTAATGACTTGCGAACATACACCGCTTTCTGGACACGATCGAGGATCTGCACTGACGATCCAAAGAAGAGGAAACCTCTCAACTCGAAGTATGCGATAGACTTGCTCTTCTGGTCCAGTATTTGGCGTTCAGTGAGGGTACGTTCCGCGTCAGAAGAGCGAGTTTTCCGATCCACAGCAGGTAGACGAATGAAGCCAAACAAGAAATTCAAAATCGCAATGCCTAC